TTTCTTTTCTAGTAATTTTAACAAAAAAAAAAAAAATGATTTTTCAGTAACTTTTTTTTTATCTTTTGTCATTTTTCTTTTTTGATCTAATTTCCTAAAAGTGCCAATAGTATTCAGTTCATAAAAATTATTGAATTATATAATAATTTGATTGTAATTTTTGTACTATTTTAAGTTAATGAATTCTTTCAATGAACTTTTTTTGTATTGTTTGTATTTGATAATTGTTATAATATTTCTTATGATAAGCAAGCAAAAAATTTCTCTATTCAAGGACTTATTAAGCAAGAATTTGGGGGCAAGAAATGAATTCAAATGATTTATTTGTTCAATAATTGATTTAATAAATCGACTAATTTCTGGATCTAATAATGATTTCAATTGCAAACAACTTATTAGCATATCGTTTAGTTAACCTTAAAATTCATTCTCAATTATTCAGGTTAATTTTAAACCCTGAAATTTTAGAATAAAAAATAAAAATCTCAATCAAAATTTGAACAATAGACTAAGTGCCAGCAATTTCGATTAAATGAAATATGTGGAAGGTGTCACCATGTGTTAGAGATGACACTGACGACACTGCACAAAAAAAAACAAGGATGAAATATTGGAAAGTACTATGCTGAATCATAAAGTTCTTTTGCTGCTCACATATTAATAATGCAGTGTAATCAATCAGCATATCATAATTTTTATAAAGTAACAAAAATTTTTACATGCAAATATTCAGCAACAAAAAAAAAACTCTTTATCAGTGATATCATCAATTTATCAACTGATCCAAAATGGCCAAGCTTTTTTTTTGACATTTTAATTAATGAAATATTTGATTAAGTCAAACTTTTGCATAACTGAATTGAATTGTTAGTTATCTCATGTTTTGCTTAATTTTCCCATTTCATTCTTAATTACCCTTAATCATCATAATTTCAAATTTTTGTCCTTCTGTATAATTTATTGCGTACGAAAAGTGTTTCAATTATTCGGGGAATGAATTGATAGTTTTTTCTTTCCTTTATTTTTTTTACAACTTTTTCTTTAATTCCCTTTTTTTCTTTAATTCCTTTTTTTCTTTAATTCCTATTTACAACTTTTTCTTTAATTCCCTTTTTTTCTCTCTTCCTATTCTAATTATTCAAATTGATTCATTATCAAATATTTTAGGAAGCTGAAAGCAGCAAAATTTGTTTTTGAATTTGCTGAGAAGACATATATTATAGAAATAAGCAATATATTTGCGAGGAAAGAAGAGAAAAAGATAAAAGCAATTCGAAAATAACATTTACTTAATAACTTTTTTAAAAACTTGAAAAGTTATTAATATGAAAAGTACTGAAATCAAATGAAGACATCTTGATGAAAAGGTTAATTGGCATATTTGTCACTGATATTCATTACAACCGGCTAAATAACGCATTACAAGGACCATATTTTAGAAAGGTTAGAGAAATATATTTTCATAATTTAAGTTAATTCAATATCTGTTGCGGTTTTAATATCAATTAGTAAATTCATTCAATATATATCTTGCCTATTTTTATTCAACATTTAGTCGTTGTACATTTATACCTGTTTTATTTAAATAAAATAATAATACAAAAATAATCATTTAGTTTTAAATGAGCCAATTAATCGGTCCGGTTTGGTATATTGTTCGGCAATGTGGCCTAGCACTAATACATCATCCTCTTCAGTTAGTTGTTAAAATATGCAGTAATTTATTTTTGCAATAAAATCGTTAAAAAACTAATTTTTGGTGATAACAAATGAGATAAGCGTTCTGATTAATAGATGAAAATGTTAATTACATTGCAATCCGTTGATTGCAAAATTACATTTAACATTAAAGAAGTAAAAAATGCATTAATAATTCATCTTTTTTAGGGAAAAATTATGACAATCTAAAAATGAAAAACCTATCTTTCCCTAGTAATAGTCATATTTTGCAAAAGAACTAAAGTGTTTGTTATGATCGGTTGATAACAATGCTTTTAGTGAAATTTTCAAATTTATGATAAATTATGTTTTTTTTTTTGTTCCATTTCAATTGCTATGCAATATATTTCATTGATTTTGCCAATATTTTCAACTTTCTCCTTTTTTCCTCATGCATTATTCATATTTTATCAATGAAATAGGTTGCATAGATTTTAAATTGTTACATAAATATGATTCACTATTTCCTTTCCTTTTTTCTTTTTTTTAAGAAATTAACTTCAAGGAAGAGAGTTTGCAAAATTTGCAACAATATCTTCTTTAATTATTAAATTCATGCATATTTATTAACATTAATCCATCTATTTCGAATTTACCTTTAGATATTGAGCAATTTTTTGATCAAAATTAACTTTTTTCTTTGAAAGCAATCCACCTATTTTGGGCTTATTTGTAAATAATAGGTAACTTTTTAATTAAAAATGTATGTTAAGTTTACTGAATTTCATTTTATTAAACTTTAAATGATATTATTATTATCATTTTTTGAAATCATCACCTAAGACATCAATGACAATAACATATATTGTTGGTGTGGTGAATTGAAAAAAATAAAGACAATTACGCTTTGCAGATATTATCTTCTAATGAGCGCTTAAAACGAAATGCTGCAAAAAGGATTACAGCCACATTTCCGAAACAAGAAAAATGCAATGAAAATTGTTTGGTTTAATTAAATTTTCAACAAATATTTCTCTGCTTTCTACAATAAAATTATCATTTTTCAGTAATTATAAGAAAAAAAATTTTTGTTGTCTTTTTTGTCAAATTTTAATAAAGAAAAAAATGAAATTAATAAGTAATGGAAGTTATATTTTAGTGGAAATGTTAGGAAATTTCTTTTGGTACCATGGTCGTCTGGGTAAGAAGGCGACATGTGAATTATTAGAACAAAATGGAGAATTTCTTGTACGATCAGCGCGCTCAAAAATAGATCTTGTCGGTGCTTTTAGTTAAATTTCAAATTTTATTCTGTAAAATTTCATAATGACAAGTTAAAAATATGCAGTACTTTTGAATAATCACAACGATAATTACCTAAAAGTCAATTTAATGTTGCGAATGTCTCTTGATATTGAAAAGATATGATAAGTTTGTCAGGAAAGTGAACTGATTAAGAGAAAAAGGAATTTAACATACCTGAAGTGAAAAAAAACTTTGATAAATTTAGAGAGTTTATTTATAATAAATGATCGACTTTATCCATTCAAGTAAACGCACATTTTTTTTTTTTGAATTAAGAATTTCAAAAATAATCAAACATTAATTGTAGCAAATAAAGCCAGTATTATCAGTAAAATGGAATAATAAACATTATCATTTTGGAATTAAAAAAATTGGCGCATATTTTACCATTGAAGAATTACTATTCGATAATATCATTCAATTGATTTCATTTTATTTTACTAGCAAAGTTAGCTTAATTGTTATTACAATTTCGTTATTAGTATTTCATACAATTCACTTAAATCTCTTTAACTTTTCTAATTAATAAGTATAATTTTCATTTAAATTCATCATTATCAAATTTATTCATCTCTTTTCTGATATCATTAACTCAAGTAACTTTACTTAATATTCATTTTATTCATTAAATAAACTATAC